CCCGAGGAATAAAGTCGTAAGAGTCCTTCCTCCAATATTTCGACGTATTTCGAAAAATTTATGTTGCCAACGCACTCCACTAAGCTCGATCTCCCACCAACCCAAACAGCTCCCCAAACCATCACGCTGAAACCACCATGCTTTACAGTTGGCTGCAATCTGTTGAGCCAAAACTCTTGGTGAGGCATTCTCCAGACCCATATCCTTCCACTGTCCGAAAGTTGAGCGAATCTTGATTCGTCTGAGAACAATACGGTCTTCCAAAAGTCCAGCGGCTTGGTCATCATATCACTTGCCCACTTCTTTAGTCTGACTATGTTGGCAGGTCTTAATAAGGTCTTCCGTCTAGCTGCTCTGCAACGATAACCCAATCTCTGGAGAATCCGTTGAACAGATTTTGGGCTCATCCCACCAACTTTGGCCACTTCTGCAGTCGTTAATCTGGGACCCATTTCGATGCTCCTCTTGACAGCCCTTTTTGTCCTCTCTGATGGACCAGGACGACCCGGACACTGCTCAGTTGTTTCCTTGCCGTGTTTCCTGAACTGCACGATGATTATGTTGACTGTCGAAAGCGGGATTCCCAAATTCTGCGAAATTTGCCGCTGACTTATTCCACCATCTGCTTGACCAACTACCCTTCCTCTAACAAAATCTGACAATTCGAGAGAACCTTGAGTTCTAGGCATGTTGTAGCACAAGATAATTAGTGTGCGGACCATATTCCTTTATATAGTGCTCTGTGAACACAAATTAGTTAGCATCAATCAGTTAACTGGCGAAAAATTAGGTGTCTATTTACTTGTGACCACTCCGTGTATGATCAATAACATTAATTGATTTATGAATTATTTCTAAAGGCAATTCAATCATTATCAAAGATTTTTGTAACAAACATTTTGTAAATGATGCATTTGTGTTTATTGAATGATGTATGTTTCTGACCTTAAAGCTTAAATGCATCATTGACCATAGGTTCTGACGTCAGTGTCATGTTTTAACTACTATCTTTATCCAGGACAGAGGCGCCCCCAACACAGCGAAAAGGAATTTCAGAAATGTGCCTTTTAATGCTCGGCTAGCTGTTGACGACCTAGATCCTGAAGTTGATAATTTAAAGAAACAACCTGGAGCTGATGGTTTCCGTTTCGATTCCGCGCCACTATTTCAAGTGAGAGTTAAATATTTCATATATAAAATGAATGATTTCATATATAAATACTTTATAATCTATTTACGTTTATTTTTAGAGTTATATTCGTTGGTTTATTACATAAAAATTACGTAAAATATAGTTTCGCACTCATACGTGTAAATGTGAAAACTATAATGAAAACTAGTTTTTCAAAACTACATTTTACAAATTTCACATATTTTTCATTTTGTTTTGTGCCAGGTGTCGTCTGGTACGCAGTGGTTTGTGCACTGTATCTACACTATCCGTTCTGAGAAGAATGCTGCCAGGGGTATTGGAAAACGAAGTATTCCGCATCATGCCTTACAAAATACAAATCAGGCTCTCTCTCGGCGCAAGCGCGCGTCAAAAGAAATAGATGAGATCGGCAAAGATGGAGTTGGAACTAATATGAACCGAATCCTGCTGGATTACAGGAGTAAAACTGGGATCGTGGCAGTAGAGCAGGAATCGGGTGATACCAGTGTCTATCAAATTGGCACCAACAAAGAAGTTAACCACTCCGAAATTCCTCTGATCCCAGTCGTTGTTGGTGTCACTTGTTCTTTGTTAGTCGTGATTGTCGTTGTCGTCGTTTTAGCCCGCAGAAAACGAACACCTGACACTAAAAAATTCCCGCCTTCCCATGCACCAACAGAGATATCTTCTAACGGTCAGACTCGACTCATAGCACCTCAATATTATACCAGTAGCGGGGATAATACCGAGGTTTAGCGTTTAATAAGAAATTGTACTAGAAGTAAGATGGATTTTGTTTGTTTGTTTTTTTTCTTTCTGGGAAAAAAATCACTATTAAAAATACAATTTATGACAGAAAAAATCCAATAAATATCATAAAATTTAAACTCATCTTTTCTGCACAATAATTAGTGATAAGTAAGGGATGCTGAAAGTTTTGTGCTCCGACAGAAAACATCGATAAAGCTGGATGTTCTATTTGATTGCGTAGGCCTGCTCATTAAATGTCTACCTTACCGTTCTCCGCGTTCATTTTTTTTAATTCTCATTTGTGTAATTAATGTGTGACTTTTTAATATTTTATGAAACAGAACTGTTGGTATTCCTTTTTTTTTTGAAACATATATTTAATCACAGTTTCATTCTGTAACCACATCTTCCGGTGGTTACTGTTTTTTTTTGTTTCGTTTTTCTAAGCATTAATGTTTTTGTGCCACGTTTTGGTTATATGTGATAGTTATGTAAATTTAAAAAATTTCAATAAAAAGTAATTTCAGAATTTATAATAATTTCCAAACCGCATTCTCTGTAATTAAATACTAGATATTTACTGAGTGTTTAGGATCGAACTAATCTAAAATTAATGAATAAAATCAGCCTTACAGAAATAGTTTTTCTGTGTAGTTTTGTATAACGAAAGAGTAATTCGTTTATTTGCTGGTTGAACGTAAGACTAATTCATCTTCAAATGTTTTTCACGACAACTTCATCATGTCTGTATTTCGAGTGTGTTACAATCTTCAGAATTAGCACTGGATTTTGAAGATGAAATTGATATTTTTGTAGGAAAATTCTACCTAACATATGACGAAGATCAACTTGCTGTACTGAGGATTTATCGTTGAAGAACAAATGTTAAACCATTGTCTCCTCAAAACTGGAAAAATGTTCTGAAATGTTCTGTTCAAATAGTATCTGTTTCACATATTTTCCGGTAAATCTGAAAATAACATTTTTTACAGCATTTAATTTCCGTTAGAAATTGAAGAATAAGTTTGTTATGTCAGTGGACTTTTTTTTTTTTTACTAATCATTATGTATTATCAAAAAAGAACAAAATAGCGGGATTTTCATCTGTCGTTTATATATATATATATGTTCGTGTTTGTACTTAAATTCACTGCCACGTTTTTGTGTTGGCGTTTCTTGTTTACGCCATCTTGAAAACTAATAGTTTTAACCTTATTAACCACGCTTTTTTTTTCACTTAACCGCCACCTGTGAACACCTGTATAGAGTTTGAAACTATAGTCGCTGTTAGTAATTATTTCTTATGAGTTTGTAAAACCAATTGTAAGAACTATGTTAATATTGGATAACAACAGTCATTTTTTTAAAAGAAAGATGCTAAATAAAGTGACTTTCTATTTCCACTACCAATGGTTTTGTCGTTCAAGTCAAACGAAAACCAAGTGTGTAAACCTGACAAACAAAACAAGACAGTGATTATAGATCACTAAAGAAGACCAACAAACAAAGTAGGTGAAGGAAATTAATCGTTTCCTAAGTTCGTTCTTCATATCAAACTTTTTATTAGTGAAACGGTTGACAAGCACAACTAAACAATACTTATTTGAAAACTAAAGAAGACAAACAAACAAAATAGGTGAAGGAAAATTCACTGTTTCTTAGGTTTGTTTTTCATATCAGATTTTCTGTTAGTGGTACGGTTGACAAGCACAATTAAACAATATTTTCTTGAAACTAAAGAAGAACAACAAACTAAGTAGATGAAGGAAAATTCATTGTTTCTTAGGTTTGTTTTTCGTATCAGATTTTCTATTAGTGGTACGGTTGACAAGCACAACTAAACAACATTTTCATGAAACTAAAGAAGTACAACGAACAAAGTAGATGAAGGAAAATTCATTGTTTCTAACGTTTGTTCTTCGTATCAAATTCTTATATTAGTGACACGGTTGACAAGCACAACTAAACAATACTTTAGTGAAAACTATAGAAGACCAACAAACAAACTAGGTGAAGGAAAATTCATTGTTTCTAACGTTTGTTCTTCGTATCAAATTTTATATTAGTGACACGGTTGACAAGCACAACTAAACAATACTTTAGTGAAAACTAAAGAAGAAAAACAAGTTAAATACAGGGAAAGGTGATTAAACTATACAAGTTTCACATAATATTTGTGTGCATATATGTTCGTCATAACATTTCTGAATACATTTTATGAAAATTGGCTTTCTCTTCGCCAGTAAACTAAAAAAAATACCCTTATATAACCATTCAGTCTTAGGTATTAACGAGCTCTCAGGCAGGCATGAACTTTGAGCATAATTATTATGAACGTAAAATCTGAACACAACTCAGTACTATACTACGTTTCCTGAGTTTAATTTTAATGCATAGGATGAAAGGGATCAACTTCCATGATTTCTGTTACTGGAATTCAATGTTAACTCGGCCATAGCGGCATTGAATTTTCTGGTAAAATATACAGATAGTCCCTTGTGCAACTGTGTGCTAAAAAAACAACAAAAAAATGCATGGGATATTTCTTGTAAAATTAAGGTTCTCCTATAATTCTGATTTATTTGTATCATCTATGAGCAAGATAAATTCTTTTCTATTCACGGAAAGTTTTTCTTACAAGAAAATCGATCCCACAATGCCTAAATTAACATAATAGATTCCAGTAACAGAGATTATTTCTCTTCTTTCATTCTAGACCAAGAAAACAAAACAAAAATACCCTGTTACGTTTTGCTGTCGTTGTAATGCTACACAATGGGCTATCAGCTTTATGCTCATATGAGGATTGTAGTGATGGAAAGCATTTCAATTGGTTAGTTAACGAACGTCCTCACCTTACTTCTTTACGATACGTGCTTTCTGTATAAGTGTTTATATTGTTTACGATGTCATTTTATCTTCATCTCCTTCTTGTACGATAATGCTTTCCCTGTAAGTGCTAATGATTACTTGTATATCTGTCTTAATCTTGTTGTATGTTCAGCCTCTTAAGCTGAGGGCTAAGACACGATATAGTATAGAACATATCTTAAGATAAAGGAATTTTACTTTTGAAATTAAACTACAGAACACCGAGACACACAATCGTACAAAATATTGCATTTCTGTCGGAAGGTTTTAAAACTTATAACTCCAGATACACACATATACATGGAGGGTATCTTTGTGCCATATTCTGAATCGCGTGATCGTGGTGTAAATCCATTTATAAAATCAAATCTGTAACTCAAGGAAGCCTCCAAATGCACTAGTTAGTTAACGCCTCCTCGTAGATTGAATCGTCATTTTTGCTTTTATCTGCTTTACAGCCTTACGGATGTGTATTATTATTATTAAACAGATGGGAACTCTCCAGATATAAATCGTCGTTTATCATAAAACCCAACACTTAATCTGTCGTTCCTTGAACTTCGATGCTTAATCTGTTGAGACGAAGCACGTGACGACCACACAGCCTGCAGCTCGAATCAGGCCTGGCACACATGTGAAGTTAAAAAAGCAACAAAATGTTGGGCAGGCGATGGGGATGGGGGAAAGATTACTTATTTACTTCTCTATAACCAAATAATATACGTACAGTAAAGTCTACATGCTAAACAAAAAAAAAAACATTTTTCGTTTTGAATTTTAGTAGCTCTTATATGGATTTTCTAACTACTCTTTCAGAGCTTTACAACGCTAGAATCCGGGTTTCGATACCCGTGGTGAGCAGAGCACAGATAGCCCATTGTGTAGCTTTGTGCTTAACTTAAGAAACAAACAAACAAACAAACTTTCAGAGCTTTTAATTAATTTTTTTTTAATTCTAAGAAAACAAAGTGATGAATGACTATAAAAACGAAGAATAACATAAAATGTTTAAGAAAGAAAGTAAAAACTGTAGAAATATTAAGTCTTATTTTGACACCCGATAAGGTGTTGTTTTGACAGCTTAGATGTTATGCATATCTAGTGTTTATGTGGTTTGGTTTGAATTTCGCGCAAAGCTACACGAGGGAAGGCAGTTAGTCATCACCACCCACCGCCAACATTTGGGCCAGGAGTTGATGTGTTATAAGCGACACGTTTAACCTAATGAACTCCAACATTTTGGCATTAGCATATAACAGTAACAAGCATCATAAATCCGTATTGGGCAGGCAACATATAATCTGATATAAGTCATTACCAGCCTTATTGTGAAGTAATATCGCACCAATTACCTCAAAAATTACTTGTATCACGTGTTATAAGCGACACGTTTAACCTAATGAACTCCAACATTTTGGCATTAGCATATAACAGTAACAAGCATCATAAATCCGTATTGGGCAGGCAACATATAATCTGATATAAGTCATTACCAGCCTTATTGTGAAGTAATATCGCATCAATTACCTTAAAAAATTACTTGCATCACTTCAAAATCCATTCGGAATTTTTGAAATAAAATTATTCTCCTCATTATTGAAAAACAAAAATTCAATAAAAACATAGTTTTTCACTCACCTATTTAGTATTCCAGTTCCGATTGAGATAATAGTTACGTTCTTAACCAATTCCTGAGGTGGTGGTTTCATGGCGCTCAAAGATATGGTTTTACATTTCTACGAGATTCCTGCGATAATAGTTAAAAATATACTCAATGCTTTGGTTTTACGATCCTGTTCCTGCGGTGATAGTTACACGACACTCAATGATATGGTTTTACGTTCTTACGAGATTCCTGCGGTGATAGTTACACGACACTCAATGATATGGTTTTACGTTCTTACGAGATTCCTGCGGTGATAGTTAAAAATATACTCAATGCTTTGGTTTTACGATCATGTTCCTGCGGTGATAGTTACACGACACTCAATGATATGGTTTTACGTTTCTACGAGATTCCTGCGATGATAGTT